CCCAACGACAGCATCGAGATAGCCGCCGTCGGCGCATTGACCTCCAGTCGGACCTAGGGCACATTGCTTCTTATATGTGTGCTTATCAGTCGGCGCGTTCAATAGAACGAAATGATATGCTGTGAATACTATTTTAGGAATAGAGGTGTGGGGAGGAGGATTGACTGGGGACTAAGGTATGTGCTAATAGGTAGTTTAGTACAAGTACTAGCTTACTCCGTAAGGCATCGTCAATAAATCGCTTTCCTTGACGTACTTTGATTGGTGGATCGGGGGGTTGCGGCGCAACCCCACTGATTTGAAGGAACAAAAACAAAAGCGGCAATCGTCTCGTTTTACTTCTCCTTTCATCCACTACCCACTCTCAAGTTATTTCTCCACCAAATCCTCTCGCTGATACAATACGTCATGCCAACTCAAGTAGGCGAAAAGATGCTTGAAAGTCGCACACATTACCGTCGCGCGCTCCGAACGATCATGCAGACAATCTGCCACCTAGAGACTGAAAACATCGACCAGCATGACGCAGAAAAGGCGGGTATTCAGCAACAATTCATGTCTTTAGAATCAAACTCCGACAAACCCTACTTCTTCATTCCATACCAGGAAGAATACCTTGACGAAATGGATCGAGACTATCCAACCTACAACCCGGACATAGACGACCGTTTCAATATAGGAGAGTTACATCTCTACATGGAAAGCCGCTTTGGGACATATCCAAAAGATGACAATAAGCGTTTCGGTGTTGGCTACAAAGCGTATGTATCCTATATCTCGTTCAGGCTCCCCTACGACGGCCGCTAACAACGACCGTCTAGATGGCCAGACCTCAACCTCGGGGAGCTAGCCGAACATTCCAAGTACTATTGGACGGCGTCCTTCACAGGCTTTGCACTAACCACCCATGAGCCATTACCCCATATGAAATGCCTCATGGAGAGTGAAGTCGCTGGAGACGATCGATTACTTCGAGGTGAACTCATTGCCATTGTAAAAATCATGACAGCTCGGTTGAACACAAAGTCCCTCCGCACTCATACGGTGGCCCCTGTAAGTTACTGTTCCTTCTCCAAAGACGAAAGCTGCATGACACACCATGGGGTGGAGCTCTGCTAACAGAAGCCGCCACTCAGGTTCTGTTATATTCCATAATGGGTCCAGAACAAATTCGTGTACTGGAGGCTTATTTCAATGGTAAGAATCTTATAATTCGAAAAACCAAGTTGTACGATATGAAGCAGGAGGACATGGCAACGGTAGACCTACTTACCCGGTGGTGGTTGGGATTTGCTGTCGGCGAGACGAAGTTAATCAAAACAGCCTCTCTTCCTTAGCCTCTTTGGTATTATGCATTGGGTGGCGTTCCAGGCGGGTGTTGGGTATTTGGTCTGTAGGATGGGATGTCTTCTTTTCTTCCGGGTTCTTTTGGCGCATGATGCCGGGTTTTCGATGTACTAGTATTCAGGTTTTATTGGTCAAGTGGATTCGAAATTTGGAGCCGCTGCTCATTCTTGAGACAATAGTGAATAACTCTTATCAACAAATATGTTTTACCACATAATACACCTTGACTGGTGATTGAAATGAGTGTGGCTACTGACTGGTCCAACTCCAAGATAACAGGTATACTAGTTTCTAAGTTCCATGGTATATATCTTGTGGACACAGCCAAAGTAAAGAAATCGACTGTTGACTAGAAACAAATGGAGCCCTTATAACGAATCCTGTCAGACAAACAACTAAATAATCACTAAGATAGCTGTATAACATCTTTCGAACTGTCTAGTTCATAACCTATGACTTTCTGGTAAAGTTCTCTCCCTATAATCCTGAACTACAAATTTCAAAATACTGCTGGGTAACTTGATCATGCATATTTGCGAAAGTATTGTGGATGGTATTTTCTTGCCGAGAGACAGCTGACTCTGGCCAATGGTTCGGCACGAACCTAGCGAAGGTATATAAGACTCACCTATGCATAACTTAGTTCTGTTTAAAAAAAAATAATGTATACTTATCATCGACTGATCATGATTAGATCATCTGTTGGGACGCCAGAATATTCGGTATCTGAGGGCTGTGGGTCAAACGCAGAGCTTCCAGAACATGACACATTACATGACGTCGAGACTGCTGGATTAAAAAATACCCCGGATTTGGTTACAAGGTTATACAGCCGGTTTCGATTTAAAAGAGAATGTCAAAGTTCCGGAACCAGTTCGGCAACATCGGGCTTCGAGCGATGACTGCATGACTGCGGGATTTTACTTCCATCTGTCACGTTTCGTCTTACTCAGGTTAAACTTTTCGTCTCCGGACCCTTTGCGGCTGTGTCCGCTGCCAGCTGTCGATTAAATCTTCATCTACTGGGTTAATCCCGCACTTAAATAGCCCTAACTCTTCCCCGTAGCCCCTACGAGTCGCCCGCATCCAATCGACGAAATATCTCGTCGCTTGGAAAATTCACTCATTCTACCTTCGATTGAGAATCGAACTCGTTGCTTCTCCGTCATCAATGGCATTTACAACGACTTCTGAGATCCTAAGCTGGCTCAAGAAGTATCCAATGCACAGACACAACTAAGCGACCGATGCCTCAACACCCATAACCATGTCAGCACTCTACAAACTGGCCGCAGTCAACAATGGCCCCGAGACCAGCTGGGACGACAACCACATGAGACTCCTCACTCGACTGAACGATGAGGACATCGAAATCCTCCAACTTCCCTCGCCCAAGTGTTCCGCTAAACGCATCTCGACCGAGTTGTGCCGGGCGCCAGGGCAGAAAGACCACATCATGAGTCCTCCCTGGCGACTCGGCATCTGTGCCATGGAAGACAAGGCACTCAGCAAGGCCAACCAGGAGATATTCCGTCGCTTACAGGTCGACGGTCTTATCGAAGTGGTCCTGTTCGGTGACAAGACGCTGTTGAGTAAGACGCCGGAGGAATGGCCGATCTGTGATTTCCTGATCGCGTTTTATTCTGATGGGTTTCCCCTCGAGAAGGTCATCTCGTACACAAGACTCCGCTCGCCGTTCTGCTATAATGACTTGCTTATGCAGGGCGTTCTCTTTGATCGTCGGCTCTGTAATAGAGTCTTGGATCACCTGGGTGTGCAGACTCCCAAGCGGCTTGAGGTCAACCGTGACGGGGGTCCCAGGGCCCATGATTGGGGTCTCGTTCAGCACGTGTATGATCGGATTGGGCTGGAATTACCAGGTCCGGGGGAAGCGGAAGCAACCCGTAGGCGGTCCCATCCACCGAGCGTGTCTCTTTCGGAGGACGGGAATACGCTCCTGGTGGACGGCCGAACGCTCCACAAGCCCTTTGTGGAGAAGCCCGTCAGTGCGGAAGACCACAACATCTACATTTACTTCCCAGTAACTCCCCGGGCCCGGCGGTGGAAGACGACTGTTTCGGAAAGTGGGCAACAAGTGCTCCGAGTACGACCCTGAGTTGGTCGTGCCCCGGTGTATTACCGAGCAGGGGACGACCAGTAGTTACGTGTACGAGCCGCTCCTGAACGCCGACAATGGAGAAGATGTCAAGGCCTACGCAGTGGGGCCCCAGTACTGTTTTGCGGTGACGCGGAAATCGCCCGCAGTCACAGGCGTGGTCCATCGGGATGCGACTGGCAAGGAAGTAAGACTACCCACTGAGGTCAGCAAGCAGGAGGCAGACGCGGCCGCCAAGATCTCAACAGGATTTGGTCAGTCGGTCTGCGGGTTCGACATCGTGCGCAATAAAGGCAAGAGCTACGTGATCGACGTCAATGGTTGGACCTCGGTGAAAAATCAGCCTAGTTTCTACGGTCAATGCGCCGAGATCCTGCAGCAGATGCTTATGTCTCATGTTGCTCATGGGATTGCGAAGAACTGATACTACCCTGTGTAGATAAGTTATTTACCGAATTGTGTACATAGTCTAGATCCATGGTATTAGACAGGTAATACAACACATCAAGGTCATTCCGGTCTTTCATCACCAGTTAGGGTTAAATCAATAATAGTTGCGTAACCTCACTGAGTCACCGGTCAGTCCATGTCTTGAATGAAGTGGCCTCTTGCATTACCGTCGTTGGAAAATTGCCCATGGTTGAAGGTGACCCTGCCAGCCTTCATTCTGGGTTTGGGGGCCCATATTCACCTCGGACCCACGATCAGACTTTTTCTTCCGTAGTAGGGTTACATGCAGGCTGCAAGCTATGCTGGCTGTGCAATTGTAACGGTGGAGCGGATATGACACAGACCGGGTTGAGTCTAAACTGGCAGCTTGCTTTGGAACCCTAAATAACCCAAGACCGCGTGAAGACCCTCTTTTAGGGACCTTTGGAGAACAATGGGTCGATTCAGATTGACATTCTATCCCGGTTCAGCTGGTGGGTCTTTGGTGGAATAAGAAAAGCTAACAGAACATTCTTATGTAAAAAGAGAATAGCAGCACAAGATAAAGTAAAAAGACAATAAATCTCTCTGCTGTCTACAGTATATAAGTCTATATCGCACGAATTCCTCCTTTGTCCAGACTCTGAATCAATCTCTTACAAGATTACTGTTTCTCCCGTGAACGCGATACTGCTGAACAACAAATCTCTATCTTTCTCATTCCCGTAACTCTTCTCGAATGGCTGGTCCTGAACTTATGAGCAATTCCACTGTGATCGTATCCTCGATCCCAGCATCCCTGACCGGCCTGGAGGCAATTTGCGAATTTGCAGAAGTGACTCGACCCCCCTAGAGCCCTCACTCCATCCATCCTGTCGTCTATCTCAGTTGTATTTATGGCCACCCCTATTTGGACAAAATGAAGCACTACAAGCCCACTTTCCGGTGCGAGATTGAGGGTGTCGCAGAGACCCAAAGTCTGCCCATCGAACAAGATGCGAAGGAGGCGAAAGACGGCATCAGGACAACAGCTGACGAGGTCACTGGATACAAAGTCAAAGCAAGTCCTCGGCTGCTGGATCGGTGGTTGGACAAAGTTGTCCGCATTTCTGGGTCAGCACCAGTCTTCTGTTTTATCGTTGGCGCGCTTCTCGTTTGGGCATTCCTGGGCATTCGTTTTGGAAACTCGGCTAAATGGACTGCTGTCATTTCAGATGTGCAGGCTATCCTGTGCTACGTGTTCGACTCTTTCCTCATGCGCCAACTGCTGCGCGAATACTCCGAGCAGCAGGAGGCCATGGCCGAGATGAAGTCGCGACGGAACAGCCATGAGCGAATGCTTGCGACGCTCAAGAGCAAGCTGGGACCGGAGGGAGTCTGCCAAGTATCCCAGATAAGCAGCAATCGCCCCTTGGATGCGCTGGATCAAGGGACGCGGACACAAGGCTGGTTTGCGCGGATGATCATCTTCTCCGCGTGGGCGTTCGGACATATCATTACCGTGGGCATGTATTGGGTCTGCATCTTCATCTGGCTGGGCTTCGGACACTACTGTGGCTGGACGGACCAGTGGCAGCTGTACATCAATTCGGCAACATCAGCCTGATGGTCCTGGTCTTTGCGTTCCTGGACTGCCTGCGCGAGTGCTATGCCGACTATGTCAACAATTGCCTGGACGCCATCTTCCGCCTCGATGCCACGCTCGAGAAGGAGCTCCGCTGCATCACCGATGATAACCTGCCAAACGAGCCCGAGGTGATCCAGCCACCGCGGGAGAACCCACTACAAGTAGCCGTATTCTACTACGCCGACATCATCGGGACCCTGGTCGGGATTATCATTCTCGTGGTGGTCATCGTCGCATGGGCCGCTGTCGGACCGGTCTTCCACTTCAACGACAACTGGTGGCTCCTGATTGGGACCTATGCGGGGTTGGTCGGGCTGTTCGACAGCTTCATTCTGCGCAATATCCAAGGCAAGGTGAAGGAGTACACGGTCGGACAGGTCCAGAGCCTGGAGAAAAGAGACATGACGCTCTTCGCTAGGACGCAGATGGCCATTCCGCCCAAAGACGATCTGGATACATCCTCTGCCACTCACCGGATCTCGATCGCTATGGGGAATGTCTGCTCGCATCTGCTAATGGTGGTGGCTGGCTTCTTGCTCACCATCGGCTGTGTGATTGGCTCGAGTGCGATGCGGTGGAGTACGACGGGGCAGTTGATTTCCAATATTCCGCCCAGTATTATCGAGACCTTCTTCATGCTCATCTTGATCACCGGGCAGAATGATGCAGATGCCAGCGCGAGGGTCGATATGACTAATATCTATCACCGTCGGCAGAGACTCTTGTGGTTTGTCAAGGACGCTCGGCAATACTTGGTGACTCGAGAGTCGGCAGACCCCGCTGCTGAGAAGGGAGAAAATTAGTTCTTGCAGGGGGCTTCGTGATCTGGATGCAGAAATTGCCTCGCTTCAACATGCGTTGCAGTTGGTTTGATTCTTTGGTCTGTCTTTCGCTCAACCGATAGGGGCCAGTATCCAAAGTTCCCATTTTGTTCTCTGTATTTTGTCTTTTTGTCTTTTGTATTTTGCCTTTCCTTTCTTACGTTTACCTCTGTTGTCATTTAATTATTTAACCAAATCACATGAATTAAACACAGTACACAGCATATTTGCAAGTGTCCCATAGACCCGAGTCAGAAACCAGAGTACAGCTCACCACGACCGCCACCAAACCTACCCAAACAACCCTAACACCAAACCCCTTCCAAAACACAAAGAACACACCAACCCAACAAAAATCCCTCACCGTAGTCCGTACTTTCCCACGGAGTAGTACTATTACTACTAGTAGTAGTAAATTGTAGTCCAAACTAACCCCCCACGCCGCGAATCCAGACCCTGCATGCAAGCCATAGGGCTGAGTGACCCCCACATGTAACCGCGATAACGAAAAAGCTTAAATTCCCGAAAATGCCTCGTTCCAAGTGGATGAAAAAAAAACAAGGTCAACCATTTAGCTTCATTCTGGAAAAGTGGTTGCCTACTGCACTGCCTCCTTTTTTGGCTTCCCAACTTACTACCGCATCTACCTGCTTGATTGGATTAGCTTGGTTTTTTTTTTCTTCGGGTTTTTGCCGAGGAGAAAGGGGATCCTAATATTATTATTATTATTATAATTATAATTAAAAAGGGTGACTCACGGTGGACGAGGATGAGGTGTTTGTTTTGACGGGCAAATGAGATAGCGTTTGGGTTGCACGGGGTGGTGGGTTTGGTTTTTCTTTTTTTTTTTTTTATTTTTGTCTTGGTCTGTGCTTTGCATGGTTGAGTTTATTTCTTGGTTGTGAATTGTTGGGGAGCCTGCGCATGATAGGAGAACGGTAATTAGGTGTATCAATTATGTTATATTTAAGGTTTAGGTGCTGGCCATTGGGATATATACTGCGTATGTACACGGCTATATATGTCTTAAGTATTAGTCAGTGTTCTTTTTATATGACACTGTGTATCTGTCCAGAATCTAGATGGAGACTTTGCTCAGGGCAATAAGACTTCTCGGCTGAACCGATGAGTACTCGTTTACAGTAGGATTACTATGGCCGTATAAGTGTGACTGAGTCTCCTGGGTGTTGGGCTGGTTGTAGCACTCCGTACTATAGTACAACAGGAACCCCTTAACACTCCGAGACCGTAAAGTCTTCTACAATAAGTACAATGGCGAGAGTGATCTAGCCCGAAATGCTACCATATAGCAGCTCTTTGGCTGAGGAGTTTCATGCGTTTAATCTTATGGTCCTCGGAATGCGTGGATCATAACATTTCTCACGAGCTCTGAGGTATCGGAGTGTGGCAGCTTCGCTAGCCAGTAGCTTCATGCCCATTTCCATTGACATGAATGGTCTGGGGTGTGGGGATCTGAAGACCCATCGTATCCCATCCTATTGCCGGGCCTAGGTACTATACCACGGCATCCGAAGTTGCAACGATGGAATTCGTAAGAATTGAACATATTGTTGTCGGTATGATATTTCTAACAGGCAATCCAGGCCCGCACAATCCTCGGAATACCAGCACCTCAAGTATATGCTTGGAATGCAGATGTGAACAATGATGTTGGTTCTGAGTATATCCTAATGGAGGAAGCCCCCGGTACAAAGCTGGAAGATATATGGCATGTTCTTTCTCTCGAAGAGAAGATAGAGATTATGAAGGATCTCGTCCAACTAGAGAAGAAAATGCTTCAAGCGCCACTAAATAGGTATTGGGTTCGGAGCCAACGCTGATCTGTATTATTGCTAATAATGACTTAGTTATGGGAGTTTGTACTATGCAAGTGCTAACATCAAAGATGCCGTGCGAGTCGACATACGTGCAGAAGTATCTTCTGAGCTGAAGGACAAAGCCCAACGCCGTTCTGTCATAGGTCCAGTCGCAGAAAGACACTATTGGTTAAAAGAACGTGCAGAGATGGCTTTGGATCGTGGACTATGTTTGTTCTCGACCTATCTCCTTGTTGTCTTAACTGACCCATCGAAGGGGAAAAGCCACAGGACTATGTGCTCTCTCTAGCTCATCGAGAAGAGGCATAGATCCGGAAACACGCGACTCCGAGATCTGAAGATGACCTGCTAGTGACTTCAGCAACGCAGAACTCTCCAAACGGCCACATATCTTTGCTACACAAGTATCTCAAAGTTGCTCCTTATCTCCTCCCAAACGACCCTGCGGTAGTTGCACCATATATCTGGCACACAGATCTACATGCTGGAAACATCTTTGTCCAAAACGGTAAAATTTCCAGTGTTATAGACTGGCAAGGTCTGTGGGCAGCACCATTGATACTTCAGGCGCGCCATGCAAGGCTAGTTAATTATAACGGGGAAGTCATTTTAAAAGCCCCTGCGAACTTCAAAGATCTTGATTCAGCGGAAAAGACTCGGATCAGAGGTCTTATGACTAGCTCGATCCTGCTCTACCTCTATGAAAAGCAGATTGCTAAAGAAACCCCCCTTCTTAATAAAGTCCTTCGATTTGACCACGGCAGGATACGGTGCGATCCAATCGTGTTCGTGCGTGACACATGGGATGACGAACTTATACCCTTGCGAGAATCTCTGATAAGGCTTGAGAGGTAAGCGCTTCTCTCAGTTCATCTTTATAGTGCATCACTGATCATGCTTCAGAGGCTGGGATGAAATAGGATTCGACTTTCCATGTCCTATTCATTTTACAGAGGATGATCTCCGTATTCATGCCGATGAAAGTGACGGGTGGAATGATGTGCAGGAATTCTGGGACTCTGTGGGGGATATAGTATCGAGAGATGGCTGGACACCGCATCATCTATATGATGATGCCATTTCCCTGTTCACGGAGCTACGAGATATTGGACTGAAAGCTATGATAGACAGGGAGAGAGAGACATTTGAAGAACAGACACAATGGGCCAAAAAGCATTAATTCGACCATTTTCTTTCTAATTTGTTAGGAATCCTCGGAGCTAGTGGCTAGATTAGACGAAGCAGGCCCGGGAATTTCATTCTAATCATACATCTCAGTTCATGATTGACAATGTAAGAGGGTACGAGTAGGAGAGCGTAGAAGAAAGTAGAATAGGAAAGCTACTAAGACTGAAAGAACCTAATAACTACTTTAGAGCTGCTAACCAACGCTTGCCTCAGTGGAAATGCAAGACAATCAGCTTTCCCAATACTCATTGCAACAACCGAAGGTGTTGAAAGGAGTCTCGGTATTTTGACTCATAGTATTAATAGGGCTGGTACCAGTCTTTGGACTGGGACTCTTACCTCTCCCTAGCTCGCATTTTCCTGCAGGCTGCGTTCCTTTGTGAAGAAGATAATGACTGTTCGGTATATTGATACTCATTGCTTGGACGACGATAGATGATGCACATAAATCATTGACAGTATATCCTAGTAAAGAAGTAGAATAAGCCTTGATTATTTATTAGTAGACAAGACCCTGTATTAGTCTTAATGTTTTATTTAAATGATTTATTCTTTGATTCTAACGCTTCAATTTTTCATAAAATGGTATGTGAATTTAGTTTTGCATGTAGAGTATCAATATACCTAATTAGACCGACAGCTGGTAAAAGTTTTAGAATAGGGAAGAGATAGCTTCTGTAGGTAGAGTCCATCAACAGCACTATAATGTACCGGAAGTTACTTATAGACTTAGTTGAATGGTTCTTCAGAGCTCAAGGATAGGCAAGAGTATCTAAGACTGCCAGTGATTATGCCATTCTGTCAATTATCCATCCCACCATCACCATCTAGCCTCGATTCCTATCGCTTCGTTTCCTGACTCTTGTGAGTTCTTCTAGGATCAGGTCTCATCATCATCATCATCATCATCATCATCATCATCATCATCAGAGGATGAGGGGGACATGAGAGCTCGCATAATTGCACGACCTTCTTCTCGATCCTCGTCCTTGTAGATGCTCAACCTGTGGTCTCCGAGAAACTCGAATTCGGATCCATAGTGCTTCTTTAGCCATGCCTTTTCGTTCTGAGTGAGAGGCTCAGAGACCCTAGCCTGAGTCTGGCGAGAAGCCTGTGCGGCTGCAAATCTCCGCCGCTCGCTATCGGTGAGGCATTTACATACACAGTATGCGTGCGATGCATGTGACCAGACAGCCAAAAAAAATATTCACTTATATCTAGTATCTATAAGGTTGTATGTAGGTAGTCTGACGGCCAATGATACAGGCAATAATATTGATGATACTAAACGACCTGGTTGATGTAGCTAAAATGCATGAGATCATTGCTTATTCTCTTCGCCTCAATAGTCCCCAGCTGAGAACAATAAAAATGACTGTTCCTGACAATAGTCCAATTGAAGTACCGTAGCTGACATGGTAGGAAGGACCGAACTTGGATTGATATACTTGAGGACCCACGATGCCCATCAATTGGGCACAGGCCTATAACATGTTAGCAAGCATCAATATGAGTATAGCAGAAACATACGTTTGTCATTCCGATAGCAAGGGCTGATGATGTAGTCCCTTTGACTGCTCGAATTCGCTCTGAAGAAGCTATATTAGAGATGAACCAGTGCACTAAAGCGGACGAACGTACCAGGCCAGATCACAGGATAAACACACGATGCCGCTGCATTGGAGATCATAATGAATATGTACTTCACAACGGTGTTATCAGTCGTGAGTAAAATGATGTAACTGATGATTGATACAAGTTCCACTATCCCCATGTTAGAGCATTGTATACCTGAAGAGTGATATACTTACAGCTAATGGCTACCATCCAGCAGTTCAACTTGTCTTGATGAATGAAATAGCCGAGTATAACAAGCGTGAGAAATGCTAGGCTGGAGGGCGGCTATTCAAGTAATTATTAGCTTTATCCACGTTTAAGCCCAATGATATACTCACCATCGACATCAACTGCGCAATACCCGTGTTGGTCATTCCCAACTCGTAGATGACGGTAGGAAGGACGAAAGATATGCCCCAGCCTCCGATGCCATGAGTGATCCACAGCAGTGAAAACGTAATCATTGTCGGATCACGCAGTAGAATCTTGACTTCTTGCCATTGAAAGGTCTTTGCTTTCATTTTCGGTGCATCGCTCGAAAGGTCCCCGAGTACAGTTTGTTTCTCTGGCTCGGACAAGAAATCAGAGTTCTCGGGGTCTTTTTCATCAGAATCAAGCATTCAATCCAGAAAGAGATAACGTACAATTCGGGAGGAAGAAGTATGTATATACTCCACAAAGAATAGGTGGGATGCCTTCGAGGATGAATACCTGTTTGAGTCAGCTCGCTGTTTTCTTTTTGATGATTCCGGTCATACCCAGCGCCATCCCGAAAGCCCACCCGCTTTGTTCATAAAAGATATGGCATATGCTATTGGAGTATAAGTAAACAGCGTATGATAAAACAAGGGCATTCATACCTAGTAAACCGCTAATGGTTCCTGAGAAAACACCAGACGCGTAGAAGAATGCCTATTTCTTAGCTATAGTTACATAAAATAGGGGGCACGTACCAGTCGAAGTGGCATTCGGTCTGTGTTGTACCAGAAGCTCAGATGATATCTATTTGAGAATTAGATATTAGAGTAATGTCATGATATTTATTTAGCAACGTACAATACTCCAGGATAGAAGCCAGCCTCAGCAAAGCCGAGAAAGAAACGGGTAGCAAGAATGCCAGCATAGTTTCTAGTAGCTCCTTGACACATTGAAATGATTCCCTTGATTTATTAGTTTTGATAGAAGCACATGCGTTTTAGAATAGAAAAACGAACCCAGGTAATCATAATTCTTGACATCCATACCGAAGGCGACCATCTCTTCAAAAGGACGGTAGATGCCGGTTCAAAGAACATATATGGGTAGCTTGGCTTATGTTAAGAGAGGAACTAAAATATCTTTTGAATAAACATACTAGAATATGCTCAATGCCCATGCCCACTGCTCACTAGACAAATTGCCCAGTTCCTTTTTAATCCCATTCCCCTCTTCGATGTTGATAATAGCCGCATTTGAAATGTTGGTCACATCGATACGCATAATCAGATAAACGAAGGAGTACCACAGAAGAATACGGAGGTCAACTTCGCGATGGATCTTCTGTAGGTTTCTATCTGTTCTTTGATGCGAATTTGTCGTAACTCCCACTTCTTCTTCTGCTGGCGAGAAGCCCGGTTTGTCCACGTCATTTCGGTTGTTTATTGATGCCATTGTAAATTTTCTGCGTTCCTCATTACTTGAAAACCGACAGTGTGCATCATGATATATGAGTGAAGACTGAGGTCGATATCGGAACGATGTGATTGATGGCTTCGATCACGACAGCGGAAAACCCCGCCTTTGAAGATTTGAATCTACAATCGACCTGTCAGTGCGGTACTGAATCTGATAATTGCTGTCAATTTGATTGCAGGTTGATGGCGTCATCTTGGCATCTTTGGTGTCTTCACTGTATAAACTTCTCAATTGCCGTAGAATATTCGAGTGCCGAAGTGTTTTAATATAGACTAAAATAATTCAAAGCTAGGCAAAAGATTATCCTCACCCACGCTCCGTACCATAGAAAATCATATCGACCAAACTTTCATGTCTTAATATGAATAGAATTTAGAACAAGCTAGAAGAACTCGTCGAAATTAGGGAGACATATCATCAGTGAAAGGTACCAGACCATTAAGTCACATGATCGGTTGGGGCCCTAAAAGACCAGGATAATCATGCATCAACGAACGCTACAGGATCTTTCTCTCTACATTTGATCTGATTACCTGTGTGGGCATCTTTGGGGTCCGGATTATAGATAATTAGCGTTTGCCCCGTTGGACTAATCTGGAATTATAGGCAACAGCTCTACCGTGCCATGGTCTTTTGGAGGAATGGGGATATCTCGGCCTTTGTCCCTACAATCATCAATGAGGGCCGAAAAAAGATATATCCAATATGAGCTATTCTTCTTCGCTTTGAGCCAGATTATAATTACCCGCCGTCCCTTATCATTATCTAATTCCATTGAGTCCTTCCAACGTCTCCACTCCTTTGCATCCCTGAATATGATGGCTTTGATCAATTCTGTCTTCTACGGTTAATGTCTACCTACAGCGAAAGGATATCTGCTTGATGCAAACAATTAGTTGTTTGACACACTCATAATTTGATAACTCAACCTAGATGCAGTTTCCCATCAACAATTATGTTAAGAGAAATCGTGGTATAGGGCTCAATACCAAATATATATCCGGATAAATATTTACCAGAAGAATGCTCCGCTCCATTGTCCTATACTCATTGTTGCAACTATAAATCCGGGGTATACAATCAGCGTCTCACTAGGTGTATCCATACGTATGCTCAGTTCACAATTCTGGGTTCCAGTCCACCTTGAGATCAGGAACTGCTGTATAAGCGTTAACTCGGCAGCGCATCAAGTACACGTGACCTATGAAGTTTGTTTGATATTGCAATTAAAAATTACTACACTAGTGCCGACGCTGAAGTTTGACATATCTAAGCAACTCAAACGCAGGTGATCCTCTATCTCATCCCGAAGGCTATGATGAAGTGGCTTTGTATTCACGGAACCGGCTCCTCGGCAGCCATCTTCCAAGACCAACTTAGTATTAATTACCCTTCTCCCTCCCATTTCGCCTCTAAACTCATCTCCATGGCATTACAATAGCCGCCATAACCAGCAAACTCGAACCGCACGGCCACACATTCGAGTTTATCAACGGACCATTCCCCTCCAAACCCGCCGCCGGTATCTCTCTTCGGTACCCCACGGGTCCCTACTACACGTGGTGGACCGAGTCCAACCCGGCCGCAATCCGCGCCGCTTGCACAAACCTCCACGCGCATTTCCAAGCCCACTCTACCCCCTATGACGGCATAATCGCCTTTTCCCGCGGCTGCCTCCTCGTCTCCGCGTACATCCACCTCCACCAAACTCTCTACCCCTCTGACCCGCTACCTTTCCGCACGGCGACGTTTCTCTGTGGCGGCCCTGTACTGTCCCTCATTTCCGATCTCGGCGTCCCCGTCTCCGCCACCGCGAAAGAATGGGATAAAAGGACCAAAATCGCACTCCGCGAACGCGCATCCAACGCCGCAATCCTCAAATACGGCAAGGATCGGTGGCTAACCCCAGGTGAGAACGGGGATGCAGATCTAGGTCTGGACCCGGATGCCTTGGTATGTGCAGAGGACGTGTACGGGCTTGACACTGCCTCTGTACAGGTAGATAGAATCAAGATTCGTATCCCGACGGTGCATTTAGTTGGTCGGGTGGATCCGAGACTACCAGCTTCCCTGTGGTTGGTTTATCTGTGTGAGGAAGAGGGGCGGGAGGTATATATGCATCCCGGGGGGCATAACATTCCTAGGAATGAGAAGTGTACTCGAAGTATTGCGGAGATGATGGAACGGTGTGTCAATCGTTCTATCTAGTAGGGCTAGGACCCTTGTTAGGCTATTAGAGTAAATAGATGGACAATAAACCTCGTACTGTTTTCAAGGTTAATATGGTTAATATGCCCTTTGATCTTGGTTGGTAGGGACGTGGTTACATTTAAGCACACAGTCCACGGACCGCCAGGAATTATGTACGCTGTAAGCACTAGTTAATGCGTCGCTCGCCTATTGTTCGCATCTAGTAATGCAAAGGCAGCGGATCCGGTATGATGCGCTATGACCCAACGAGGGGCTGAATCAGAACTGGGCCACGGAGCTGGCATAGGTTAGTTTGTCAAGTCTCTTCTTAGTAGTTTTTAACAGCTTAACAGATATCCAGCCAGCTTTAGAAGGCATTAGCCACCAGGTACTGCCGCCGCTAGACATTGTATTCAGGATAATAACCTTAGTCTAGTTACTATGTTATATAAAAGTCCAATTCCCAAAATCAGTCAAAAAAACGATTAACAAAAACTGGGAATCTGGGATACTACTATTACCAGGGCCTACATAAGCACTAGAACAGAACTATAGTCTATAGAAAGCACGATAGATAAAGTCAGAAACTAGGTACTAGTACAGTCCAAAAGTAGCTGGTAGCCATCTTAACAGTCCCGGAGTAAAAGGAAATTTATAGAATCAATCTACCGATTGTCCGTCATTGGGCATAATGCGGAGTACAACCTCCGTAGTCGTGGCAGTGATGGAGCTTGCTATCCGATATAGATCGAGTCCAGCAAAAAATGATACTGGCACTTTAGGTACAGTACAAGTCTAATCCTAATGCAGCACTAGCGCGGTAAGAATGGCCGAATATTTCAGTATTAAAACAAGGCGCCTCCAACTTAAAACGCGGATCCCCTTGATAGCTACGCGCGCTATCATCAAAGAAAGGAAAACCACAAGTTCAACTCAAAGTCCAACTCTCGCCTCAATTGGATTATCACAATGGCCAAAGCGAAGGCCTCAAGCCGGGAAGACATCTTTATGAGCATCAAACCCGAACACATGCAAAATATCAGTACTGGCGCAAAGAACCACGAGTACCGCCGCTACCTCCTCCCGTCGAGCGTCCGCCGTATCTGGTTCTACACCACCGCTCCCGAATCACGAATCGCACATGTCGCCCGCGTCTCGCACGGCAAAGTCCCTGGCGAAGTCCCAGAAAATGGCGGTATTGGTAACGAGGACTTCAATGCGGGCAAAAAGGTCTCGAAATACGGCTATGAGATTCTTGATCTGTGGAGATTGAAGGAGCCAATTCGACTGAAAATGGCCCTTTCAGAGGGGTATTTAAACGGCGCACCTCAAAAGTATTGTTGGGTTCCACCCAAGCTCCTGGAGCGCTGTTTACTGGATGATCAAGATCATATCATTCCGAAGGTATCGGAAGAGCGCCCTGTTGAAAGTACAAAGAACAACAATCCAGAACAACCAGAAGATCGTTCTATTAAAAGGAGAAAAGAAGACGATCTAAAGGCACCAGAAGAACACCATGTTGAAAGTACAAAAAAAGATGATCTAGCCGAACTGGAAGAGCGTCCTATCGAAAAGACAACAAAAGAAGGTCTAAACGAGCCCAAGAAAACTTCCAGCTCGACTGGCAGGAAACGGAAGATATCAGAATTCTTCACGCCGTCAAATCCAACGAAGTAACAGGGAATGCTGGACTACGGGCCATCTTAGGCTGTTAGATTCAACGGAGGCCATGAATTCATGCTCTAATGATTTAAGCAGAGCCGTTCTCCCGGGGAAGCTGCATTCCCCGAGATAACAGTTGCATATCGATATATTCAATGGAGTAGTTCCTGAACAGCATATACGGTTTCTCAACCCAATCCTGTACTTCCTCAAAGAGCGCCTTCAACCCATATTCAGTCTTCAAAAATATGTCTGTATCTAGCAAGTACCTGCGACCCGCGTCGCATAGGTACTTATATGACCCTTGCTTGACATACAGGCTCTTTGAGAGCTTGACACCGGACCAGTCGAGGATTAAGGGGGCATAGAAGATTATCGGGGCATTTCCAGGACGCTCTAGGAGCCGCCATGTCAACTGTTCTTGGTAGAACCCGGCATAGTCGGATCCAGTGCACATGATCCAGGATGTTTCTGAATCTTGACTGCAGACAAGAATCCGAATAAGATTACGCAGGGGCGTGTTGAACTCGAGCCGGTCTAAATCTCGAGACGATGTGAGATCGACATGATGTTCTCCATGGTCAGGACATATGAACGTGATTCGACTATCGTCATGGTATTGATTGTTCAGGCCATGTTTATCTGCTAGTCCGCATCCTTCGCGGGGGCACGATGCTCGAATAGCTAACTTGCCTGTTTCTGGTGACAAATGTGAACCCAGAGTCTTATGGTGGGCAACGATGTTCCGAAGGATGGCGCCAAAAGCAGGTTTCGAGCGCCAGAAATTTTGCGTTTCAATATCATACGCTACACCAGAGAGGTTGGACAATTGGTCGAGCACCTTCATAAATGGCGTCTGATTGGCTCGAAAGTCTCCTGTATGTCCGAGACTCTTCTGATATCTGACCCCGTTGATCACAAGATCCTTTCCAGGAGTAGGGGCGCTGTCCACATAAACGAACTTGGCCCTAACGTCGCGCTGAAACTTTGTCTTTATGGCAGCGGCGAGGGCAAATCCTGTGGAAAAGGTAACCAGATTACCAATGTGCGGGCTGCTGTTTGGCTGCGATCCAATATGGAGAGTGATCTGAGGTCGAGGACATTGATCATTCAGATATTTGATCAGGTTCTGCTTGAAATAATACGACCCACTACCCAAGGGGTGGTGGACAACTCCGTCATGGTCTATCATAGTGTTAAGGGCGAGAAGGACAGTGTTAGTCGTATAAGGAGTTAAGATGTTTTGCAACTGGCTAAAAAACCAGCAACGGCGACGAGAGAAAACAAATATATCCACCTACTCCTCAGCTGAGAATAGCGGTAAAAGACACCCCACCAGAGCTGAATCAAATAAGGTTTGATCGACTGTATCTATTTAAGTGACTAGTCACCAAACGATTGCTGGGCCAGGCTGTGGGTTCTTTACCGTAAATCATGAATACATCAGGCTGTCAAGTTCTTTCACCTCTGTGCCATTCACACTGTAGGACTGGTACGGAGTACACTTTGATTTCTGTAAAATTACCAAAGCTGTATCACTGGCCAACTGATCTATATCTCACGTGATTGTTTTGTTTTGTATGTCACAGTCAACTTCTAAGACAAGCTCTCTTCAGCCTCGCAGGACTCGAAGGCTTTGGTGCGGGAGAGAAGCTGCATTCGTAGAAGTGAGCAATCGTATGACTTTGGCGCACTGAGATATCAGTGGATGCCAGCGGACTTTCAAGGGCTTCCAATGAGCTAGTATCTTTTATGGTGCCTCTGCTGTGCTTAGGACATAAGAACTATATACTGCGTGTTGCCAGACATACCTGTCAGAGGAGGGCCTCGCCCGAATTTTTAAAATGTGCTGTACTGCATAATGCCCAGTACATTGGAAGCTCTCTCCTGGAAGGGTAATTTAGATGGTATTACTCGACTCGGATCTCGGACAGGGTTATGCTTTCGGAAGCTCGACTATACGGAGATCATATATCTTAAGGCCAGGGGAAGGAAAGAGAGAATATAATTGTGAGGATAATATTTAGTGCGTTTAAAGGAATCGTGTCTGCACATTAAGAAGATAAACAAGAAGGAGTTGGTTTCTTTGGCACTAGGGTCGTTACGAATAGCGTCTCTTCAAGAGCCATAACCTATCTGTTGAATATAACTATTACTAGTCTTCTGATTATGCCCAGGCTTGCCAATCAGTGCATAGGCTGACTCAGAGTTCCCTTTTGCGAATGGAGCCCTCCGACAGCCATACGGACGCTTGGTGACATATTGATATCCAGATATTATGGTATAGCTTGTGTCACAGATTGAACGGCGATCTGGTCTGATGACGGTATAGTATACCCTGCCCCTGGTACATGCACAGTTCGGTGTCCGAACAGCAATATCGAAGGATATACCTGTTGCATTTTCTATACCGATAAGTGGCTTTTTGTACCTAGACAGAATTATAAATTACGGACACTTTACAGGGATAGAGTTTTAAGAGTCAGTCTCTTGTTTTTATAGTATCTCCTGTTTCTTTATCATTTCGTGCCAAATATCCTTACCTAGTTGACAGTTCCTCTACCCTACGTAGTAGATATTGCTGACATACTGACAGGGTACACTAAGTGTGTACATTGGTTCAGAAGATTTCTTGATCGCTTAATGCCCCTTCCAAGGCTTGCTACCCTCCTATAAAGATTCATGATTCCTCTCATACAGTGGCTGACGGGGAGAGCTATGAGACACTCAGCTTCAACTTCTACACATCATAGTTTGCTACAGTCTTAGTTTGCTCGAGGTTTCTATTTTAAGCAACTTCAGCTATCTTTCTCAGAAACTAGTGCGCGGTATCAGCAGCGCTAAGAGTACTTTGTTATCAATCAGTAGAACACTTGCTTCTTCACATATGATGGATTCGATAGCTGCTGTCCAGACAATCAAAACCTATCAATATAGCCCCTGACGAGCCGGCCAAAGAGATAGCCGGCAAGCTCACTTAGTGGCATGAAGGAGATCAGTATGGTCGCCTCGCTCAGCTACTGTCACGGGTTCCACGGTAACCCCGTATGATAACTGCATCGTATACCCTGCCCGTTGTGCATAGACATCTCGGTGGCCGAACAGCAACATCGGAGGACAGACCCGTTGCCTTCTCAATAACGGGCAGCAGCACTT